GGTGCCCTCAGGCTACCTGACCTGTGACAGCCACGCCAATAGTGACTATGAGGACACGGATGGCGAGGCAGGTGCCTACACTGACGGCGAGGCAGAGGATGCCTACGACCACCCCGGGCTGGCTCGCTCCTCTGAGCCAGCACAGCTGCCCCCAAGCCATGGCCTGAGCTCTGAGCCAGCACAAGTGTCCCCAAGCCACGGCCTGAGCTCCTCTGAGCCAGCACAGGTGTCGCCAAGACATGGCCAGAGTGACAAGGTGGGTCCCCCCAGACTGGCACAAGGGGCTGGTGGGGCAGAAGGGAGTGGCCACAGTGTCTCTGGGGTATAATTTCCATCCCCATGACACAGGCAGGGAGCTGCTGCAGGGTCCAGCTGTGCATTCATGCTCAGCTCTGGATCCCTAGGGGCAAACACCCCATGCCAGGGCAAAACCCCTGCCCTGTCCTTGACCCCTCATTGCTCTGCTCCTCCCCAGGTGCCCAAGCAGCCACAGCAAGGCCAGCGCTACGACAGCATCAGGTACCCTGTGCCCTGGGACTGCAGGGAGGGGGGTGGCAGCCAGCCCAGGGCTGGGGAGGGCCTGCATAGGGCACTGTCCCAGCCTGGGCCCAACTGGGTGCCAGAGCCACCACCACTGCTTCTGCCCCCCAGGGCATACGAGCACGAGGCAGTGAGGAAGAGGTTCACACACGCCAGGGATGACTCGGACCAGGATGAAGGCTATGAGTGGGGGCCAGCCACAGATGTGTAGTGGCATTGCTGGCCTGTCCCCGTGGGCCAGCCCCGCCACAGCCCTGTGCCACTGGCTCCAGGTAACAGTCCAGGTAGTGCCAGACTGGGCTGGGCCCAACCACAAAGTGCCTCTTTCCCTTTTGGCCACAGCTGCTGCTACTGAAATAAAAGGGACATTTGGATCAGGACAGGCTGTGTCTGTGCATGCTGGGTGGCACCATGCAGAGCACACCATGTAGGAGGGTGACCTTGCTGGCTGCCCTGCCTGAGCCACCAGAGCAGGAATCAGGGCCCGGCACTGCCCTGCTGAGCCTCCTCCACTGCAGCCCACATGGGGCTCTGCCAATGGAGCCTCCCACATTTCCCACAACTTTTATTTTCACATCAGCCAAGCATCCAGGCACAGCCAGGTCAGTGCTGCCCTGGCTTCAGGGGCCCAGAGAGCCACCCACCAAAAGGCACATCCCCAGGGAACCCCCTGGAAATCCCAGAATGTGGGGCTGGGCAGTGCCATGTTCCCTTTTGCTGCACCAAGGGCTGAGGCCCCAGGCTGGGGTGTGCGTGCAGAGCAGTTCAAGGCAGCACCAGGGAGAAGCTGAGGTAGGTTCCCAGCTTGGGGTAACGGGTCTAATGGGGGTTTGTTTGCACCCCAGCAGGCCCCTGGCCAAGCCAGAGGGGAGAAGTAGGTGCCAAGAGTGCTGCTGCCCTTAAGGCTGAGTCTGGGAGCTGCTGGGTGTCCCTCAGGAGTGCCAGTGGTGCACCCACACAGAGTGCAGGGTCAGCACTGCTCTGGGGCTGTGCTGAGCTGAGCTCTGGAGCTGAGCTGTGCCTCCAGCACCATCCTCACCTGGGGAAAGGCACCGTTGGTGAGTGTAAAAGCACAATCTGCAATGACTGGAGGGGGGGGACCTTTCATGTGGAGTCCCCTCTTCTCCCACCAGCAGCAGCAGGACAGGCACTGTGTGGGCACTGTGCAGGCACTGTGAGGCAGGAAGGCGTGAGTGGAGGGTGGGAGGTGCCCAAACTGTGGCACCACAGGCCCTGACACTGCTCAAGCTGGGTATCAGCCCCCAGAGCCTCCCTCTCTGTCCTGAGTAAAACCGAAGAGGTGCAGGGTCAGGTCCTGTTGAGGGCTCTGATGCAGGGCTGGGGCAGAAGGCAGAGCCAGACCTGCCCCTCCAGGCTTGCTCCTGTCTGTCCAAGGCACGGCCAGTGGCTCAGAGGAACACGGGCTGCTCCTGCCCTGTCAGCAAGCGGTACGTGGAGGCTGGCATGGTCTTGATGTGGACCTAGGCAGAGAGGCACAGATCAGAGGCCCCGGCCCGGGCTGGAGGGCGCTGGTGCCCAGCTCTGAGCCCAGCTGCTCTGTGGGGGCCCTGCTCACCTCACTGACTGCCTCGCTGAGGATCTGGATGATCTTCTCGTGGGGCGTTGCCACCACGCTCTGCCCGTTGATCTCGATGATGCGGTGCCCCACGCGGATCCCGCCCCGCTCCGCGATGCCCCCGCGCATCAGGCTGCAGATCTGGGAGTGAGGAGTGCTGGTGAGATCAGGGCTGTGCCCACAGCCTGGCCCTGCACCACCACTGCCCCAAACCCTCACAGCCCTGCAGGCTCCCAGCCAGCGCTCTGGATTTGGGTGCTGTCTCCTCCAGCTCACGGGCACACAGTGAGGGCAGCCACTGCCCTGCATTGCTGCCACCAGAGCGACGTGCTGGGGCAAGGGCAGCCCCCAGGACTTTTTCCCCCAGTTGACAGGGAGTGCAGTTGCTCCCACTCACTGAACCCTCCTGCTCCCATCAAGCCTGGGCTGCAGAGCCTGAGCTTCTCCCTGGGGCAGCAGGAGAGACCCACATCTCCAGTCCCACTGGGAGCATCAGTCAGTGCATTGAGGCAGCTGTGCCACCCCCTCTTCTGCCTACCCACCCACCCCCTCAGCTCTCACTGGGCCTGGGAACGCCCTACTCTGAGTTCACAACACAGCCACAGCAGACCCCAGAGCAGGGAGTGGCCAGGGTCTTGAGAACAGCAACAAATGTCACTGGGGTCACACCCAGAAAGCCAAGAAGAAGCCACCACCCAGAAAGCAAACAGCTAAGGAGCACCAGAGAGAGGGGTACAACCACGGGTGCTGCAGGAGAGCTGTGAGAAGCCTTTTGCCCCTTGGCCTGGGCAGGCACAGGGAATGCGGGAGCTGGGCTTTGTTCTGTGGGCACAGCCAGCTCTGCCTGTCCCTCGGGCAGACCCCACCCCACAGGCACTCACCACGCCGTTCTCAACACAGAAGCCCAGCTGGTACTTGGAGTCGGGGCGTCGGATGACAGCCGTGGTGACAGGGGGACAGTGCACGATGTTCAGTGTCACCTCAGTCTGGTGCTTCAGCTCCTGGAAGGGGGGATGAAGGCTGGTCAGATTTTGGAGAGCTGTTCAGCTCTGGTGGAGGGACAACACAGCCAAGTTGCTCATGGGAGGGTTGAGGATTAGCAACCTGTTTTCAATGGGGAAACTGAGGTACACGCAGGGATACTGCCATGCTCAAATCCAGGGACAAGAACTTATAGACCCAGCCCAAGACTTTGCACTCTGCCCCCGAGGCCACGCTGTCCTTGCTTTCAGCTCCTTCCTGCCTGAGAGCTAGATGGTACAACAGGTTTCCTCCAAGACAGGTGCCTGCCTCCTCTTCTACCCTCCTCCTCAGGAAGGACCCCAGCCATACCCTGCCACATCAAGTACAGTCCCCAGGTCTGTCCCTGCCCTGTCACACCCCTTCCTCCCAAGCACTCAGAGCAGGGACTGTCACAGCCCACAGGACAGGTACAGCCCCCATGCACTCCTGCCCCCACAGCTGGGGGCACTGGGGGGGGAGGGATCCCAGCATTCAGGCCACTCCCCATGGCAGGAAGGAGGAGGTCACCCCGTCCCAGCTCACCCGGATGATGCTCTGGCAGGTGCCCAGGGGCAGCCCCACCAGGCTGGTCCCGTTGACGGACATGAGGCGGTCCCCGATGCTCAGCTCCCCCGAGCGCTCCGCGGGGCCCCCGTGCATCAGGTTGGCGATGACCACGGTGGGCAGGATGGAGCCCCAGCCTGACTCCACGATGGCGATGCCCAGGATCTCCCCCTTCTGCTTCCGGATGCAGACCTGGGAGCAGAATGGGTGGGTTACTGTCACCAGAGCCAAGGGCACATGCCCCAGCCCAGCACTGGTGTCCTGTGCTCACAGCCGGCTGGGATGGGGTCTGGTTTGCAGGGAGCACCTCAGCTGTTCAGGGAGCCATGGAGAGGATGACACAGAGGTGCCAGCAGGGTCCCCACGCCCTCCTTCCCCCAAGCAGCTCTTACGTCCTTGCAGTTTTCCTGCCGGGAGAAGTGGGTCAGCTCTGCGTTGTACTGCTCCTGGTCCTCGAGGGCACGGCTGTACTGGCGGGGGGTCAGCTCGCTGGGGTCGATGCTGTTGGCCTCCAGGAAGCGCTGGTAGGCCACACCAAACGCCTGCCCGATGGCCTGGGCGATGACCTGGGCCTGGAGAACGACAGGGATTGTTCCTGCCCGTGGCTCAGGGCTGCAGCCAACAGCTCCCAATGCCCTGCAGTGCCCAGCACAGGCACTGGCCCTGGGAGCTCCTTCCCTGCCTGAATGGGCCCCTCTACAGTGCCAATCCTCCCCTCTTTGCTCGCTGGGCCCCTCTGTGCCAAAGAGATGCTCAGGCTGGGCTCCTGCCCTCTCTCTGTGGGGAGGGAGAGGTCTCTGCTGCTGCCCCCAGCACGGACCCCCAGTTGTTACAGCGGGACGTGCCCAGGACCCCACGGCCACCCTGCCCTCCCCAGGGACCCGCGTGTGGCCTCACGTCGGCCGAGTGGAAGACGTGACAGATCATCTTGTAGAGCCGCTTCTCCTCTGCCACCTCGGAGCGCCGGGGCAGCTTCCGGCGCGCCATGAGCACCACGAGGGAGCCGATGTCGGCGATGTAGGAGATGGTCTGCAGGGAGTGATCCATCATGGCCTCCTGGCAAGGGCGACACAGGCAGAGATGTTCAGCCCTGTGGGCAACCATTAGCCCAGCGAGCAGGAGGGGTTCAGCAATGGTGCTGGGATGCAGCGCAAATGCCTGGCACATGCTGGGCAGAAACCATGTCTGTGCCATTGGGTACAAAGAGCTCCTTCATCGGGGACTCATCCGTGTCCCTGGGTGCTGCCAGGGGACAGGACAGCCCTTCCCTCTTACTATAATGCAGAAAGTAATCCTGAGGCAAAAAGCTTCCAAGATTTCAAGCCTGGGTTCCCTGAAGCTTGGTCTGGGATCCCAGCAGCTCCCCAGGGCGCAGCTCGCACGGGAAGCCTCGTGCAGCCACACAGAGAGCCAAGGACACGACAAAGGATGGCTGTGGAATTACATTTCCCCTCCCAGATGTGTGTCCTCGACTGCAAGCCATCCCTGGGCACAACCCCTCCAGTGTGGGAACAAAGCTGAGGTCCCGAGGCTGAACAGGAAGGTTCCAGCAGCCCCAGAGGCACACAGGTGCTGCCACTCCCGCTCACCTGCGTGTCTGCAGTGAGCACCTTGATCCTCTGCGTGGAGACGAACAGATCCACCTCTGTCATGGGCTGGGACTCCCCCTCGGGTGCCTGTGAGACGATGGAGAGGTCACAGGACCCCGCTGGGTCCCAGCCCCACAGCCAGGTATCCCTGGGCAGGCCCCGAGTGCTGCCCCACGGCCACGGGGGGCCAGGCTGGGGGCAGCTGTGCCCCCCACCCCTCCTGCACCTTGATCCTGTCCACGGCCTCCTGGGCCTGCGCCATGCGGACGCTGGTCGGGGGGTTCCTCTCCGAGACCAGCTGTGTGGAGCCCAGGTACTTTGCCCCAAAAATGACACCGTCCAGCAGATCCTCCGGGTCACAAGGGCCTGGAACTGAGGCATTGGAAGGGACTGAGCAGGGGCTGCTCCCCTACCTCTGAAACTGGGGGTACCAACTCTTACTGCCCATTAGCTGCATTCCTACACGTGGCAGAGCAGCTCAGTGCTTGGGACATGGGTTCCTGGCACCACTGGGGACCAATGCTGCTTCCCCCTTCTCTTGGGCACACCTGGCATCCCGTTCTCCCTTCCTGAGCATCCCCCCATCCTGCTCCCTGAAGCACCTCAACTTCCTCAACAAAGCATCAAACAAGCCATCTGAAGCCTGCAGCGACATTGCCACCCTGGATGGACACAGAGACAGGCACTCCCTCCCCAGATGGGACCCTCAGCCACCCCCATTCAGGGTCAGGACTCTTGAATGCTCTTGCTGCTTAAGCACAGAAGCAACTCACCCTCTTTGAAGGCTTGGCAGGATGATGGGGGTTCCCTGTTCTGCAAAGCAACAAAAGAGCAGGTGAGGCTGTGGTTGGCATCCCAGGGATTCAGCCTGCCTGGCCCTGGAGAAGTGGCACAGTGATGGCACAGCGTCCCTGAGGCTGAGGGAAATGGGTCCCAGGGTTGGGCAGGGAGGAATAGGGTCCTAGGGCTGAAGGGGAGACAGCACAGGGTCCTGGGGCTGGAGGGGAGGATGGCACAGGATCCAGGGGCTGGAGGGGCTGTTCAGACCCACCAGCCTCTGCCCCGGGGCACACACGAATCAGGCAGCCATGCAAGTATCCCCCCGCCTTCAGGGCAGTAGGAGCCAAAGCCGGTACCGAGGGTCTTGTCTGGGCACACTTGCAGCACAAGGCCCTGTAAGACCCGAGGAAAGAAATCCCTGGCTCCCCTCCGCCCCCAGCCCAGACCCGAGGAGGGAGCAGGGCCAAGGGGCAAGTCCTGGCTCCTGCGGCCCCACCACACCCGGAGCACTCACGGTCACGGCGCCTGGAGGTGGCGGCTGCTCTGCCTCGGGGGCTGGAGCGGGAGGCAGGGCCGCCCACGCTGGCTCTGGCGAACCTTCCCGAGTGCCCTCAGAGGTGGAATCAACCTCGCAAAGCCCCTCTCCATAGCACCAGCTGCCGGAAGGGTCTTCCTCTAAGCTCTCTAGCCTCCCCGGCCTTTCAGGCTTCTCCGCAGTGGCTGGATCCTCCCGGACCTGCAGCATCTCCAGGTTAGTCCCGGTCAGAACATCGGAGCGGGCCAAGGGGGTCTCAGCACCGGCCTCGGGCAGCCCCCCCTCGTAGCACAGGAGGCTCAGCAAGTCCT